TGAGACAGGATGCTTCCTATTTTATATCAATAAAATAAAGATACAAGACATGAGCCCTGAGGGTCCTTCACACCAAGTTTCTCAGCTCCACTCTGTTGGCCTGCATTGGATTCCTGCATTAACTTTTTCTAGTTCTCAGAGACCCCTGAAGGTTCTCCCTGACTTTCCATTGCATTTATTGATTGATTGATTGATTGATTGATTGTCCCTCCTGGAGAAATACTACCGGATCCAGGTTCCCGAGGCACATGGAATAGATATTTGGGCATCTCTGTAAGGGAAAGCTTCTCTCAGTAGATTCAGTGAGATATGGGTACTGGAAGGTAACAGCAAAGAACAAGAAGTTAATTAGGAAAAAAGCTGTCCAGAAAACCTGTGAGGAAGTATTTCTGGGGGCCAGGTGGCTAAGGAGAGAGGTGTGTACTGCTCTAGATCTCAGTGTTAATGTAGATCTTTATCTTGGACCAAGGGCCAGGAAATGGGTTTGTCATGCCTGAGACTAGGCAGTGAGAAGTCAACCCACATGAGCTCTACATGTCACATTCAGTCCTACTGGTGCCCCACAATTATCATAGCAACAGTGTTTTCTGGGCCTGCTTGGTACCATAAGCAGCTGTGAGAGGGCTCTTTCTGACCCCTAAACACAATCAACCATTCTAGCTCTAGCATACTCATTGCCTCAAGGATGAAATTGAGATAGATCATTATTCTACTTCAGAATCACCCTTTTTTTAAGTGGTCCACAAAGATGAGAGGGAATTCAAACTGACCTTTCCTGAGCTTAGAGAAAAAATTATGAAAATACCCTTTAAAATCGTGTTTACTGCAGTTATCCAGGGCAGGCTACACTGCCCCAACATGTTGGCACGCCCCTCTCCTGTTATCCCCAGTGCAGCAGCCTGTGTTGTGGTTTTACTTCAGTCGTTGACTTGCTCTGGAACTTTAGAAATAACCCTTAAATTCCCAAACCATCAATGTTTTCACTCGCAAACACAGGGGTAAGACTTATGAATCATGGCTAGAGGACAAATCTATATTATCTAGTAATCTCATTTAAGATATGTCAGTGTGTAAGTATATTTCCATTGTAACTATTATTGATTTTAGCACATTTTCAGAGATGTTGACTATCTATTGGTCTGTTTTCTTTCTTGGTGTATGAGCCAACAAGTACCTGAAAGCCAAGGGACCAGGGTCATCCTGTGACTTGGCCTTAGACAATTATAAGGAAACTATAGGTAGTGGTGGGGGGGTGGACTTCGGAAGGACTTATGTCCCCTATTAGTGGCTTGGCTATGGTTACTTAAAGAAAAGAGACAACACTTTCCCTTTAGGGAGAAAATTATCCTTGAGAGTAATGTTTCTCATACATACTTCTCTCTTTTTTTCTTCTAAATAGCTACCTAATAGCCTTCTTAATTACCCAATTTGTATTTTTGTATCTTTTATTTTGATAGTATTTACCTGTTTGTGCTTTAACTCTGGAGCATAAGAATCATCTTATGATGTGGGATGAGGCAAAATTCTGCTTTGTATCTTTAATGCCCTAAGTCCTTGGTGGTCCTTTTCCTCTCATTGCCCCCTGCTCCCCAGTTCATGTTTCCATAGCACTTTGTGCATCTCTCTCATAACAGTGTATACATTTACTGTATATATTTCTCTTATATCTTGCCCAGTAGGCTGTGAGCCCTGTCAGGGCAAATCAGCTTTGCTAACTTCCTTATCTCTTGCTATTTGGTCACTCTACACATATTTATGAAATAAAAGCCTCAGTAAAAGGTGATTAACTCCAGAGCAGTGGTATATACCTGGGTCCAGGGACACTAGAGATTCCTGCCCATCTTCCAGCTGTGAACATACACTCCATACTTTTTCCTGGCCTGCCTTTCTTGCCTCAATGACAGATGATGTACTCACTACCTCATTATATATTTTCACAATTTAAAAGAGTGGTTTAATGTATCTCTTATACCTGGAAATGACACATGCTCACACCCTTGAGGAGTGACAAATCATACAAACTCATCTCTCCCTACCCCAGTGTATTAAAGAATCTGAGGGGGACCCAAACCCCACTCTATTTCCAGAACCACCTGAGATTTGCTCCCAAGCACTTGCCCTGGTTCTCAACCTCATGTGTCATCCATGTCAACATTTAGAAGTCAAAGCTCCAGGCACAAAATTCAAAGTCCATGAGCTTGAAAACATCACCCTCATTTCTATCTCAAGAGAATCTGTTTGGCCACATGTGAATAAGCCATGGTGCCTTGTTGTATCTGAAAGATTCTTGAGTGTGGAGCCAGGGAAAGGCGAGAGTGAGGAGATCATGTCTGTCTATGTGTCTGTGTGTGTCATGGGTGGTCCTGAAGAGTTTTTGTATTTGAATGCCACAAATCCCAGACAGTTCTGTGCTATTTATAGAGGGCTTTTTTCTGACCTTAGCTTTGGGCAAAATCATTTTCTCTGAGCATTCATATTCTTGTTCAGTCTGAGTAAAGCTATACCCTTGAAATACTGCAGAGGCATGTTGTTCTAGAAGGTGTATGAAGAGGCTCCTCCCTTCTCCTCCTCCTCTTCCTCCTTCATCTTCACATCAGCATCACCAACATCATCATTCTCCACTGTGGCAATGAAACACAGTAACTTTAAAAACATATCTTCCCTTCATTTTGGTCATCACAGAAACTCTGGTGATAGGCCAGTAGGAATTGAATAAGCCCATATTAGAGATTTGAAAACTAAGGTTCAGATGGGTAATGCCACTTACCCAAGACATCCATAAAGGCCAGGATAAAACCAGATACCTTTCTTCTGACTGTCATGAGGCAGACACCTTCTTCGGGGAATAAGGAGGTTGAGGGTGGGCAAATGGGAGGGTGCAGAAACATCATGAAACTGGATGAACCAAGGAGTTCAGGTTTTAAAGAAGTGAGGTTCAAATTAGGAGTCCTAGTATCATGGAATGGAGCAGTCCACACTCCCCTCAACTTAAAATTCAGGTGAGAGACTCCCAAAGGTTGCAAAGAGTTCCTGAGAATGGCCACATCTTTATTGCTCTCAAGTCAAAAATAAATGGGGCTGCTGAATGTTTTTGCTATTATTGTTGCTATATTTAGAGCTGGTAGGTATAAATGTCAAGGTCAAGGCTTTCATACCTTTCAGGCACAGAATGACCCTGGCAAAGAAGATAAATGTGGGAACAATGACAGCAGTACTACCAGAAGAATGGATTCTCCTTTTCTGGTCTCTGAACCTAACACAACAGCCTTTCCACACCTGTGAATCATCCATTTGAAGGAAGGGAGGGGAACAGAAAATTAAATATAATTTATGCTTTGCTAATTGAAATCAAATGCAAAATTCATTCTCCTGTGAGTTGCAATACTCACATTTAAATAGGGTGGAAATATTATTAACCTGACTCCATTTTATCAGATTGACTTCGCTTTTCTGGATAGAAAATAATTCTTTTGTCAAGTTTCCCAACTGACAAAGCAGACATGGCTTAGTGGCTCACTCCCAGAGTCATGGGGATCAAGGGGTAGTAAACAATGCAGAAAACAGAACTTAAACATGTCAAGTTTGAGTTTCTTTTCAGAACCATGAGCTTTCAACCATGTCATCAAACAGACTGTTAAGATAAAAATCCTTCAGATCTCAAGGCTTAGGCCTCTGCCCTATTTCTCCAGAAAATATTAGCCTACTATTATATGCAATAGGGTGTAAATGTGCTAAGGGTGTGCTCTCCACTTCTCTTTTCCAGGTGAGAATGGCTTTTAACCATCAGCTAACCATATTAAAAGTGAATTAGTTTGCCATTTATGTGAGGACACGTATGGACTAGGTTTCTCTTTAAGCAGCACATAAAGTCTTGATGTTGTGAGTTTATGAGGACATGCAGATGGCCAGGGAGATGGGACATGAAGAGTAGCTGTTACTGAGGGACTGAGTCAATGTGTATCCACTCAGGATAGAAGAGATGAGGGGAGGTTAGAGAAATAATTGTTCTTAGTGGGTAGAAAGTCATCAGTAAAGCTTTTCTACAAACCAGTTGCTCCTTTAACCTTCTAAGTTATAAAATCACTCCTTACCTAGTACCCATTGGACTCCACACCAAAAGAGACCACATTCCACCAAGGAAACCATAAAACCCTGGGAACCACTTCTTTTGTAAATAGTACCACATAAGCACGTGAAGAGAGTTTGGAGAAGGATTGGAGGGCAAAGAAATGCACAGGTAAGATTTTTCTCTTATTGTTCTCAACCCCAGCTTCCATACAAATATTTTTGAAAAGACAGATACCTGAGCTCAATCTGGAGATTCTGATTCCTTAAGAAGTCTGGAATGGGGCTTAGGAGGCTAGAGCTTTAACAACCCCACAGCTGACTCTAATGTGTAATTGCTCATTGCTCATCATATAAAAAAAAAGGCCCCAAATCAGCAGTCCACCATAAATTCTTCTGAAAAAGAATGCATTTTCTTTCTTGAAATAAGTGTACATGTGTATTTCATCTATATACTCTTTTATTTTGTTAGTAAATGTATAAATATGTTGCCTTCAGCTCAAGAACCATTTTCTTATCTGGAAAAATTATTTGTAGGCTTTTTTTGTGCATCTGGCACATCAATTCATTTCTCAACAGGACCAGTTAAGATTGGGAAAGAGGCCCCTTGCAGGAGCCACTTCCTTTGTATTATTTCAAGGGTTCTCCACCTCTGCCAACAAAACTTCTGGAAGACCATCCATGCTGAGTCCTTCCGGCCATTGCAGAAAAGGTACACTCCCAGAGAGTAGGGACGGGGTTGGAGGTGAACCACAGAAACACGCCATTAAAACACATTGATCAGGTTGCATTAAGCTTTATAACAACACAGTTTTCATTTAGCAGGAGAATGACAGTTTAATAACAGCTGAACAGCATTAACTCCCCCACTCATACATGTTACCAATTTTACCAGAATAGTTCCTGGTTTGGGAGATCTGTCAACAAGGGCTTTATGTCAAATGCGGCATTGTGATCAAATCAAACTAATGGGAAGGGACACTTTAGTCAGCAGCCCTTGAAGGGGGTGTCCCAGACAGCCCTTGCTTTCCCCCACCCCCCAAAACTGGATGTGACAAGTGGAATCAGCCCTCTTGCCATTCCCCAATATGTGCTGTCTCTGAATAGAGTAAATGAAGCATGAGATGACCATGGTGGGACAAGGTGCATCAAATAGACAATGGTGACTGGTCTCCTGTTCATTGTGTGGCTAAGGGTATTCATAACATAAGACATGCCAACTTTCTGGTCCTTGCCCCTAGAGAAACCCTAAAAGACAGAGCCTACCCCAAAATTATGTTTCAGAACCATGGTGCTTGCAGGTAGGACCTGCAGGTGTGGAGACCTCCCCTACAAGAGGACTAGTTTTCTTTTTTCGCTCCCAGAAATGGCATTCATCTTTACCAAGCTTGGGGCTCTTAACTGCTGCTGCATGGCTCTGACAGCAACATGGGCCTGAATCTAACACAGGGGCATAAACTAAGCTTTTCTGGCACCCAGATACTTGTGAAGAGAGAGACCCAACCCTCCTTGGAGGGCTTTTAGAAGGGTTCCCAAGGGTATCAACTTTTTTTGATGAGGAATGTGCATGCCCCTCCCTTCATAAGGAGCGGAGGGAGGAAGTCACAGGGTTGTGGGATGAGACTTTTCAGGAAGGCTAGAGACACCTTAGAGTGAGGACCCTGCCCCTAGGAGTACTGGAACATTCAATCAGCATTCTGGAGAGATGTCACAGCTGAGTTTTATACAGCAAGAGCCTGGACCAGACATAGGACTACAGCTTGGGCTTCCCAGAGCAAGGTGAAAGCCCTCCAAAGTAGGCCTTCCTCTTTTTCCCTTAAATGAACATTCATGGCACTATCTTCAACCTTGACAGCTATTCAATCCTGTCTTAGACTCTATTAACTAGTAGAAGACAAGAATTAGCAGTAGATTCTGGTGGCCATCTAGTCAAGCAGATGTCTCTGCCCAGGCAGGCCTGGCTACTCCATAGGGAAGCAATCCTGACCAGACAAAGGAGGAGTCTAGGTGGCACCCTAACAAGGCTTAGGCTTCAGATCCTGGGAGATTCAGGACTCTGGTAAGGGCTCTCCTTAGCTACCCCCTAACCTTCCCTCACCTCTCTAGCCTTATTTGTCACCCTCTTCCTGTTCCCACTGGAAATCTTGGCCAGTCATTTGGTAAAACATAATGTTGAAAGGCTTGTAGAATTTCCGCAGTCTGTGGATCACATCCGGGTCGATGCGGGGATGAGTCCGACCTTTGCTCTTGCCTAAGCATCTCGGGGCGCTGCTGTCTTCTGGTTTCTTGAGGCAAGGGAACCCCTTGGTTTTATTGAAATAGAAATGTTTCTCAGTCACAACACGGGCGAGGCCTAGAAAATCCTGTACTTTGGCCATTTCCCCAGCGGGGTCCACTATGAGTCGCTCCCCACTGACAAAGAGGATCTGGGAGAGGGGGAAGTACTGGAGCCAGTTCTCCAGATGCAGAGCATAGATCCCTATGCGGATGGCGCTCCAGGAGGCATCGATCAGCCCCAGGGTCCGGTTTTTGAAGGCGAGCACCTCAAAAGTGGGAATCTCGGGCTTCTTTGACAGTGTCTGGGTGTAGTCGGAGATGGCCCTGGTCACTGGGTTTCTCACCACCACAATCAGTTTGATGTCCTTGGCCATGGAGTGGATGCGCTTAGGTGCCTCATTTGTCACAAAGTAACTTGGCGTCTTCTCCATGGTTATCTGCCCATCCACAGTCTTAGGCATCACATTTCTGGAAGAGAGAGAAAAAGGAAAAGAGTGGTTATTCCTGTCCAGAAATATTTTAACTTTTTGCACAAAATGCCTGATAAAAATAGTCTCATGGGGAGCTACCAAATTCATTGATAAACACTTGGAAGTTCTTTCTAACTACATGTCCCACTAGAGTCCTGAGTACAGAATTATTAAAAAAGGCAGCATAAGGCTTAGGGGTTCATGGGTGGGAGCTTTACACACCTTTAAACTGTTGCTCTATCTGTTACCAGTTATGTTTAAGCTAAATATACATTTAATTTCTCTATGTATTAGTTTTATAATCTCAGAAATGGAGATAATAATAGTGCCTACTTCAACCTGCAAGTAGGCAGGTTGAAGGAGGATTAAGGGAGAGGATGCTTGTAGAACATTTAGCATAGAATCTGGCATGTATAGAAGCTTAAGAAATCAAAGTTATTATTATTGTTGTAGCAGCTTTCAGAAAATGTTGGAGCTCAACAAAAACCTCAAAGATTATCTAGTCTAGGGGTTGGAAAACTACTACCTGCCTTTGTTTTTATAATGCCTGCAGTTAAGAATCATTTTAAATATTTAAATGGTTGGAAAAAACAGAATAATAATAATATTTTATAATGCATGAATATTATATAAAATTGAAATTTCAATGCTCATAAATAAACTTTCATTGGGATACAGACACACTCATTCCTTTACGTGTTGCCTAGGGATGCTTTAGCACATAGTAGTGTTGAGCAGTTGCAACAAGACCACATTACACAAAGCCAACCATAGTTTCTCCCAGGCCCTTTTGCAAAGAGTTTGTTGTCCCCTGACTTAGTCTGAGGGCCCTGTTGTGCAAATGAGGAAACTAAAGCTCACAGGCTTTAGAGGGTAAGATAGACTTTGTGACCATAGCAAGCTGAATCACACCCCTGAATCTTCTTACCCCCATTCGTAAAAGCCTAAAATATACCTCAAGTTCAGCTGAGAATAAAAAAGCATATAGCATAACAGCATCTACACAGGTTTGGTTCTACAAAAGGGATTCCTTCCTTCTTTGTTCTAGGGTTGCCCAATGAGCCAGTGATTGACCCTACACCATGGCCCATTATCTCTTCCCCAGGTTGCTTCTTCAAATCCACCCCTTAACCTATGTTCACCCTCAGAGTGGCCTCATTTCATTTGGAAGCTTCAAGATATTAAGGGACTTAGATGCTATTTGTCCCCTAATCCCAAAGTGGCAGGCCTATCAGTGATAAAGTGAGGCTCAAGACCCTATTATATAGTCAAGTTGCTGTAGGCATATGTAGACCAAAGTTAATTGACAATAAACCTGTTCAATACCTGTCAGTACAGCAGGCCATCTGCCACCAAGTGCTCCATTAAGTCTATTCAATTCCAAGCCTTGCACCAAAGTGGTACATTCAGGATTACACGAGACCTCTTTGTTATAATGACATGCTTTTAAATGTCTTGGCTAATAAAGCTTAATACAAGCAAAGATCCCTTAGCTTCCCCTACAACAATTAAATTTATTTACTATGGCATGTGTAGAGAAAGAATGACTTTTCTTTTATCTCTAATTCACATGCTCTGTCAATAATTAATTGCTACTGGGTTTTGAGCTTTCTCAGAAAGCACTGTTATTAGGCAAGAGGAATTTGCCTCATAGAGAAATTCACAGTTAGGTGTTGTTAGAGCATAATGGTTGGGCAGCATGGAGTTTTCAGATCAAAGCAATAGCCTTAGCCATAATCATGCTTATGTTGGACTAACGTATTCTTCAAAGTATTTTGAATGTCTTCAGGTTTATGTGTTTGTGTGTCTTGTGCTAGATTTAACTGTCTCATTTGAAGGGACAGGGCTAAGAAACACAGCCTTGGGGAGTCACATGTTCATGTTTTAAGAATTCTGACTACCCTTATCACCTCAATGAAGTTACTTAACCTACTTTGAGCCTCAACTTTCTCATCTAAAAATAAGGGCTAATCAGAGTCCCTCCCTCATAGAATTGTAATGAAGATGAAATAAGATAATGCAGGCAAATAACTTAGAACAGTGCCCAGTAAGGCCAGAATTTTTAAAACTTAAACCAGGGGCATATAGTCATTGCACAGCACTTCTTAGAGAACAACAAGGAAAATATTTACATTTGACCAAATGGAAAAATTGAACAGCATGGGAACTAAGGAACCGATCTAGGGAAAAAAAAAGAATATTTTGATTCAAGCCACTATCACCAACCACGCATCCTGATCTGGAGGCTGATGACCAATGAGGGAGCTACTGCTAGTTCAGCCAGAGTTTAAGGAACATATTGACTTTCTATTTTTATTTTAATTGGAGAGATATATTCTCTTATCAAGAAACTCATGTCCTGTTGTGAAAACATTAAATAAACAGTAAATACCTATAGGTAGATATCTTTACATGGGTCTTTCTAGAGTTTTGTCCTTCAGGTGTATTTTTGTTGACTTCATTGAATGTTTCTTTCACACAAGAATCACTGGTAAGTTTCTCTTCTCCTTGGTCCTCTGGCATTCACTTCTAGACCTTCGTGCTTGTCTTTACATTAAGTTCCATTCAAATTCATCTCCTTCACTTTAGTTAAGTGCTATAGTCTGTCAAGATCTTGAGTCTTTTAACAAGTATCAGGGAAGAAATGGTACCCAGCCTATAAGCCGGTGTGCAGAGGAGAGGACATGTGTGTCTAGCTCAGTGCTCGGTGCAGAAGAGAATGAGAGGATGTGCTAGAAAAGGTAAAGGGGCAAAGAAGACCCTGAATGGCTTTGATCATCATATTATGAATGAATAAACCATGAAATTTAGGAGAGATCCTGCATTTGGGACAGACATGATAAGGCTGTTTCATTGAACCAAGATACTATTGTAGCATGAGTTAACCAGGAGTTTTGAACAGTGAGAAGATATCCAGGGGCAGCTTAAAATTTATGAAGTAGCCCTTCTCCCTTCCCAGAATGATCTGATAAATGTAGAGCTCTTTTCATTTTTATCCTCATCTGAGGATACCTTTTTTTCATTGCTTTTAGAGAGAGATGAAGGGAGAGAAGAGAGAGAGAGAAACATTGGCATGAGAGAGAAACATAGATTGGTTGCCTTCTGTATGAACCCAGACTAGAGATCAAACTTGCAACCTAAGTATGTGTCCTAACAGGGAATTGAACCTTCAACCTTTTGGTGTATGGGATGATGCTCCAACCAACTGATACCACTTGCTAGGGTAGAGAGCTCTTTATAGCATCACATAAATAACTGTTTTAATCAGCAAAGCAGGTGTCATTACTATTTCAGTTCTACACAGAAGAGAACAGACTTGGGACCCAAAGATGGTTTTCAGGTTCTCCCTGAGTGAGCATGTCTTTGGTTTCCAAGCTCACTGGCCAACTCAGTACCAGTGTCAGTGCCTAACACTAGTTTCTGGGAACCACCAGGTGCTCAATAAATATCTGTTGAATAAATTCTCACCTGGGCCCTTGATCTGGTAACTATTTTTATACCTCTTCTAGTCTCCCTCTTCCTGGAAAATTAGAGGAGGCAGCTCTCCTACTGTACAAGACCAACTTTTCCCCAACTGGGCTTTGGATTTTATTTCCAGCTATCTTCTCAATAATGTCTCACCCCAATTCTCCTTCTTTCTCGTGGTTTTAAGTAAGTACTTCTTGACTAGATCTGCTGTTTTAACATGCCTGTGTTCTCATATCTCCATGTGTCTGAGAAATAGAAAGACCAGTCAAAATGAAAGGTCATGAGAAAAGCTAAGAAAATTAGAAAATAAGTGCCCATCAGTAAATTAATGGATCAAAAACTATGGTACATTTACATGATGGAATACTATGCAGCAGAAAGAAAGAAAGAAGGAGCTCCTGCCCTTTGCAACAGCATGAATAGATCTTGAGAGCGTTATACTAAGTGAAGTAAGCCAGGTGATGAAAGACAGATGCCATATGATCTCACCTATAAGTGGAACCTAATCAACAAAACAAACAAGCAAGCAAAATATAACCAGAGAGATTGAAATTAAGAACAAAGTGAGAGTAACCAGAGGAGAGGTGGGAGGGGATAATGGGATAAAATGGGGAAAGGGTTTCCAGAAACATGTATAAAAGAAACATGGACAAAGCCAAAGAGGGGTAGGATCAAGGGTGGGAAGTGGGTATGGCTGGGGTTGGGAGGAGTGTTGGGGGAAAATGGAGACAACTGTCTCCATTTAAAATAAAAAATGTGGGGAAAAAAGATCATGGCATGAATATGAAACTGATCATGGGGAGTCTTCTAGGCCATGGGAAAGATGCTAGATTTTATTCTCTGGGTGATGAGAAGCCACTGAGGAATACTAAAAAGGAGAATATAATATGATTTACATTTTAAGAGATTTTTTTTCTGGGTACTTTACTGAGAACAGACAAGAGCATGGCAAGAACAGACAAAGGCAACCTGCTAGGAGACCATTTCAGGACAGCAAATTGGAGATGGTGGTGGCACAGAGATCAGTGCAGAGCACAGTATAATAAGAAGTGGTTAGAATTGGGTACATTTTAAAAGTAGGAATAACAGTCCTTTATGATGGGTGTGATATGTGTGCAAGAGAGAGAGAGGTGTCACAGTGACTTGAAGACAGTTGGCCTGAGTGAACTGTTAAATAGAAGTGTTGTCTGTGGATTGGAGAACACTGGGAAAGAAGCAGATTTCAGGGGAAGGTACCAACTCTGACTTTGAACTTGAATTATGAGGTATCTGCTACATACTCAAGTGGAGGTGTTGAGTAATTACCTTAATACAGGAGCCTGAAGTGTCACATTGGAGGCAGTCATTTATATCAGGTGCTCACAGTCTACCATCCAGTAGAAGATGGGACCTGACCTTGACCTATTCTTAGAGTTCTTTTGAATAGAAAAGGTATTGAGGTGCTGGGTGTGCAAATATTTTTAAAATTCCTCTAACAAATATTTTACTAGTTTCTTTCCATTCCTAAAGTTCTTGATAACTATCTATTAT